GCATCACCGCAAGAGCGCCGCAAAAATATTCCTTTGCACGATACATCTAACTCTCGGAACGGAGGGAATGACCCCAACACCCACCCGTCCTCCACAGGGACACCGTACCTCGAGGTGTTGAGGACGAGGAGAACCATCGGAAAATTGGTCGAGGCTCCAGACGCCCTCTTCTAAATATTAGTGGGACTTGTCCCCGAGATTTGGTGCCTTTGTTGGCAATCATGACCCCGAATAGAGCATTCTTGCTGCTGCAGTTAGCCGGACGTTGATCTCCACTCAAACATAAGACATAGTTTAAAATGCGGATTACGAGGTTAAAATATCGCATCCAAAATCATGACATAGCGTGACATCTCTTTTATAGTGAGTAAGCCTAAGCTGATTGATCTCAAGAGACCCCGATGAAGAACACTGAACCTCCCTTTTTCTCCAGGTCACGAATTACAAGTTTCAGATTCCATCACTGACAATACATTTGAGAACCGTCTGGCTATTTCCCTTAGTACATACCGTATTATGTGCTCAGCTCCGAATCAGAAACCAAGCTCTCAACAGCCCCCAACACTCAAAACTTTGCAGCGCCCCGCCCGTTAACCCGACTCATACGGGTTATCAACCCAGTTTCCATAGTAACACTTATCACTGCCCCCCTGAATATCCACACAAGCCTTGACCCTCGCCTTGGCAAGGTTGCTCCGGGGAAGATTGTCCCAGCTGTGCTTGGTATCATCCCAGTCGGTCTTGTCACAACCGGCACCCATGTTGTAGCGGGCAAACTCCTTTTCCTTGCCGTTGTCCGAGTAGACCTCGAGCTGTGCAAATATTAGCCGCTGCTGCGCAGAGAAGAGATACCGTGCTAAGAAGAAGGGGGGCGTTTGCTTACCATGGCGTAGACAGAGTGAGCATCACACTTGCGGTCCTTGGCACCGCATTGCACGTTTTGGACCTTGTGCGCATTGGCCCAAGTGAAGTCGCACCAGCCGTAGACTTCGGGCTCGTTTCTGGTTTCCGAGCGGAGGGCGGTGGCCAGCAGGGGGCTGGAGAGGAGGGCGAGGAGGAGGGACTTGGGTTGCATTGTGGATGATTATATTGAGAGGCCGGGTTGGTTGTGAGGGTGGATGATGGGCTCACGCTGGCACTGGCAGAAGAAGATGGAGATATATATACTCGGACATTCATCTTGAGGAGAGGCCAAACCCGACGTCTTTGAGTTTTGTCGGAGGAAACCCTCCGAATCGGAGCTCTGCTGGAAAGCTTGTGATTCTGTGATTGAGACAGGGCTGAGTTCAAGGAGTGTAAGAAATCTCCGATTATGGCAGAGGAGAGCCTATCGTGATGCTCGGAGGAGGATGAATTACGCCCGACCGACAATTCGAATTCTCTTCTTGCCTGGTGTTGATGTGGTATTCGACGATTCTCGGTACCTAACACGGTTGACCACATGGCCATCCGAACCCCTGAAAGTCCACCGGTCTGGACCGCCAAGAGAGCCAATCCCAAGTCAGTGTCCAGCAGGCACGCGAGGCAGGAACGAACCTATCCCGTTCATCCGATCGGAGTGCTAGGCATGTGGCGCGGGGAGCAAACCCGGTTTCGGAAGGTGTGACTTCAGCCGCAAAGCTTCAAGTCACATCCATTCGCCGGGACGGATCAAGCTCTGCCCAAAGACCTTCGGTTGTCGCAGGGAGCTTCATTTGATGCAAAGGTACCTACCGTTGCACCGGCCAGGATATGCGTCATGACCAGCACAAGGCAACGTTCTCCAAATACTATTTCGGATTACGTACTGGCCGACTTTGATTCATTTAACCTTGTCACAGCATCGGACCTATCATGTCTCCCGTCGCAGCACTCCAGGGGCGCAGCATTGAGCCGAGCTGGTAACGTAACCTCCTTTTCCCCTTTTCAAAAATGACAAGTGTCGTACACCATCCACACAACAACGTCAACTTCACCGCACCACACAGAACCGCAAGACCAGTATTCTCATCTGGCAACCCTCGACATGACGACGAATTGGAAAATCGAGCCTGTTACGGCAGACGATGGGCCAGCCGTGGCACGTAACACAGGTGGGGCATTTTGGGAGGAACCAATGTGGAAGCTGCAATGGAGGAGCGACGTCACGCAGGACTTTCTGATTGAACAGCTGCTCAAGCGGCAGGCATCTCGACTCCTGCGTGAGCGAGCCGCACTGCGCCATCAAAAGGCTGTGGATCCGGAGTCTGGTAGGCTTGTCGGATATGCCCGCTGGCGTTTGCCCGATAATCGGACTATTACCCCTGATGGGACGCCGGAGTGGGCCGAAGCGCAGATTCCTGACGTCGGCGAGGACAGAAAAAAGGAGTTGGACACGATAGCGGCTGAGGCATGGTGGGATCCGCGGACTGATGTTGATGAGCTGGACGACGATAATGACGCCGTGAAAGACCGAGTTGTGGCTGGACGCTCGTTCCTCGGTGAGTCACGTCGAATGATGCGTATTGGTAATCTGTTCTAGCTGATGACATTCGCCAGAGCTTGAGTTCTTGGCTGTCCACCCTGACAACAAGGGTAAAGGGATCGGGTCGTCGTTAGTGGAGAGCGGGATCCGACAGGCTGAGAAAATGGGACTTCCCATCATCGTCGTGTGCTACAAGGCTGCGCAGGGCGTCTATCGACGGCTGGGGTTCGTTGAAGTAGACCGGATAACCAAGGATGACACTGCTTACGGCGGCACTGGGAAGTATAGCTGGTATTACATGGTCTATGATGAAGCAAAGACTGACTGAGCACATATTACCGTGTGTGGTAGCAATAGTATCACGACGCAGACTCGCAGACAAACAGATTGTACTTGAAAATTTGCTGACCAGAAACATACCTCCTTGCTAGTTTCTCGAAATCTTCCCCACCTCCGGCCTTTCAGTCCCCGGCAGATAATTTGGTTCATCAACATGACCAAGCGGCAACCCTCTCCTGCCCAATCCGACCTCCAACAACCTCACAATCTCCCTCCACATCTCAACCTCCCTCCCCTCGTTAACCTTCTTCCTAGCCAACCCCAGCGGCGTCTCACCATACACCTTAGTCATCTTCGCGCCCCTCTCCAACAACCTCACCGCATCCACCTTCCCAGCCCCAACCGCGGCATGTAACGTCGTCGTAGTCCCCCACCCCTAAAGTTGGAAGCCCTATCATCCACCAAATCTGGATCCAACCCCCTGTCCAGCAAGAACCCCATCATCTCAACCCCATTATACACCGCTGACCCCAACAAATCACACTGAAATCCAGCATCTAGCTCCTCCAACTTCAGCACCCCCAGAACATGCCCCATCAATCCAACCGAACCAACCATGGCTACCCTGTCCAACACCCGTCTCCTAGCCTCCTGCCGAACGTGCCGCCATCGCACATCCTGAAACCACCCGGCCTCGGCCATGGCATCGAACAAGCCTCTCCACTCATGCTCTTCCGCGTCGTTTTTATCCCACAACGTCCTGATCCAATGCACGTGGTGTCGTTCGGGCGTCCACCACTTGTTCTTTACCAACGCTATTTGTACCCCTTGAGGGAACGAGACCCTGGTTTCGTCCATGTCGTAGCTGAGTAACGCCCGAGGCGGCTGTCCGGCGCTGGCGAGAAATTCCACCACGTCGTCGTACGCGCCAGGATCGAGACCTGCTCCGCGAAGTGCAATGGCTAGCAAGACCTGTCTGAGAAATCTATCTTTGACCGCAGAGATCCCAGTTTCTGCGAGCATCTTGTCATCAGCAGCCTGCAGCGGAACGCTCAACACCATCTCAGTTGGAGCTTTCGTTTCGTCATCCTGGGAATGCGCGGCCTCGTGGCGCGAGTGCAGGAGATTAACGAGACGAATGAAATGGGACTGCGTCTCGGGCGCGAGGTCAAAAACGAGGGTCTTGCCTGTGTCGCCGCTGGGGAAACCGGCGTAGAGCCCGTCGTTGTATTCTGTGTCTGCGAAGCGGATGCGGATTGCAAAGGCGGTGGTTGCAGGCCACGTTGGAGTGGATTTGTAGCCGTTGTCTGCGGTGATAGTTTTATTCACGGGGTGTTGGGTGTATGTGATGACGGTTCCGGTGATGGTGGAGAGTGTGGATGGGGAGAGGAGCGTGAAGAGGGGCATTTTGTTTAGTGTTGGTTTCAAGCTGGTAGTTGGGAGTTGTGTTTGGTGATAGGCTTGATGGATGATGACACAAATGGTAAAAGTGGCAGGGTGATGTTAAAGACTTTATGCAATGGCGGAAGAGAGGGCGCCAATGTTGCAGTTGGAATGCACAGCCTCCCAAAAATACGAGCATTGTGCGAGCCTTGTTGTCTGCCTGTTTAATCACCAGGAACCTAGACAAAAGATTTCCTCAAATCATTAAATCTAGCCAGTTCTCTTTGAAAGTCATTCCAAACTCATGATATACCTTACTGGTGTTGTTGAACTTAGAGATGGCACAGGGATAAAGCGATGACACCGGGCCGACTCGGGGTATGCAACAACCGGAAAACGACACAATCAGCCAACTTGTTCATTTAGCGAACAACTATCAACTGAAGCACAAAAAATACAGTTATCTGTGTATTATAGCCCTGCATGCACTTGGTATGATAACCATCACAGTGGTCGTGTCATGTTGGGAGGGGCGTTTTTTTTCTCTTCTGTGCAGCAACGTGGAAAGCTGACCCAATAAACCAGGAAGGTGCCATTTATACCGGCGCCGGGGTTCCAAATCCCGCCGACGACGAGGGCTCTCAGGTTCCAACAACCGGCGGTGGCACAGCGGTCCGCGGATAGCTGGTGTGACAAAGGGTGTTGGTTCGATTCCGTCCGAGGTTGGCTTCTAAATCAGCTTGCTGTTTTTTTTCATTTTGGTTTTGCACACAGGGAGTCTGTGAGTGGACCGGCGTCTCACTCCATCAAGTCCCCGTCACATCTTCACCACACAACACCAAAAATACAAAAATAACATCACATACTACTCAGATCAGCTATTTGAGCTGTGCAATGGACGAGCTGGGAATCGAACCCAGGACCTTTCGCATACACTGATCCTTGAACCTGGGGAAGTCCGAGGAGTTGGGCATGCTAAGCGAACGCTCTACCAACTGAGCCACACGCCCGTGAGGAGTGATTTTGATGGAGATGGCCGGCAGGAACTTTGCGTAACAACACAGCACAGGATGCAACCCCCTGGTCTCAAGGTTCTCACTCCCGAAGACAGGCCATCGTCCATGATTTGTGTTCTCCTTCTGAGCCCGTCAAAGAGATAAGACAAACAGCATTGAAAGCCTCAAGCCGTTATTCCCACTCCCTTCTCATTCCCTTCTCGTACCTTCAACACAACCCCCCCCAACCCCCCCCCATTAAACACCCGCGTTACCCCTCCTCGGCCCCTTCCTCTCCGGCCCAGGACAAACACACTGACAATTCGCCGCGCACCATCGATCCCTAGGATGCAGCTTCCCCTGATCATCACACGTCGATCCCCTCTCTGCGCAAATCCCCGTCGACGACCCAACCGGGCTCTGGCAAAACAGATTCCATTTGTGACAATGACTTGGATCGAACGGGTCTGTATTCGTTCCGTTGGTGCCGTTTGTCGCCAGGGATGCGCTTGCGATGGACGCAAACGCGAGGGTTGTGAGTGTAGCAATCTAAACCCATCCATTAATATCGAAATCGAGTGGAAGGAAGAACAGCATACCTTCATCTTGACAAGGTGTTGGTTTGATTTGCGGAAGATGAATGGGGCCTGGGACGGGAGCGTGGATCTAGGGAGTGCGGTTCCTTTTTGAAGGACGGGAGACAATAATGTCGTCGGTTGAGACAAACTTTCATGTTGGTATGAGCTGATCAAGGCAGGAGCATTCCACGAAACCTTGGTCGTGCGAAACACTGATCCACGTGGTCGATCTTGCCGTCGTGACGGTGGTACTGAGACATTGGGAGGGAAGGAAGGGATCACCGACGCGGGTTGGAATGGCACCATTTCGAATTTAACTTTCGGCGTGTATATCAGGTGATGGCATTTGACTCCCGGTTCAATGGTGGAGGGCTATCATGATTTGTTTAATATTCCCAGATGGTCTCCATGGATGAGAATAGCTTGTGGGCAAGGAACGCTTCGAACTGAATGATTCCCTTAACCTGGGACTGGCTTATCGATATGATCTTATCGTTGACGTATTGGTGCGCTGGTAGCGAGCTGGTGCTCGCCCAAAGTCACAATTATTGGACGATCTCGTCCCTTGGCTGGTAGCAGTCACACTCGCTTCTCTGTTCATAGTCGCACTGGGCTGATCTGCCGGCCTTACGGTCAAGAGCTAATGCACTGGTAGAGCGGGAAAGAACGACTAGATCTCAACTCCCGGCGCGCTGGAACCTGGAGGCCACCAAGGCCCACAGTGATACCAACCTAACCCGCGGCCGCGGAACAACGTCACCCCATCACGGCAGCCTAACACATGTCGTCAAGACATGACGTGGGCCCTACACGTCCCATTCGGGGTTGGGCGCACTCCAACCCACTCCATATCCGTGGAGCTTTAGCCGCACCAATACCACAAGTCCGTAGGGTCGCTGGTGGGCTGGCGGTTGTTTTTTTTCTGCTAGATACGGGCCGCCGATCATGGACACATCAAGTCAAAAAAGAAAGCAAGTCGCTGATAGGGCTGTCGGCTTTGGTCTAAGCTTACCGCTCCGATTTTCTTCAAGGATTGATGCCGGATCAAGGGGACGGCAGATGGGCTGTGCTGAAGACGCAGATCTCCCTACCCCAGCATACAAAAAGAAATATGGTGGATGATGTGCTTATCAGGGGCCGACGAGGATCCGCTGTGGGCGGGTATTTTGATCCTGGTCTTCAGGGTCTTGGGAAAACTTGGAACGTGAATCTCCGGTCGGCATCCAGAGTCCCAATGGCAACAGCGGCGTCATAGCCGATAGCCGAGAGACGGGAGGGTAGGTGGAGGTTGAATCCAAATATGGTGCGTGGGGGGTCTGGGCAACAAACGGCTGGTTCCGCAGTCGAGGCTCGGCATCAGACACTGGTTGCTCGGCCACACGTGGTTGGTAGCGGCGCCATCAGCGGTGACACAAAAAAAAAAAACGCCGAGCAGGCGGACAAGCAAAGCCGTGGATCATGTGTCTTGTTTAGGGATGCGTCAAGTCTCTCTTCATCTCAGAGTGCAAAATCTTAGGTGGAGCATGCTCGGACACGGGACCAGTCAGTCGGGAGCGCTGTGGTGTCTTTGGGTCGCTTGGAGTCGTAGCGTGTCCGCTTTTCGCTCACTGTGGGCGGGGGTTTGGCCACTCTCGCTCTTCCACGAAATGGGTCTCGTGCCATTTTATTGGGGGGCACTACCGTGGAGCGCCAAAGCCGTCGCACCACCGAACGGTGTCGATGGTAAAGCGAGCTCGACTGTGCTGTGCTGTGCTGAAAGCGGCGCAAGAACATTGGACATGGACTCGCCACTTTCGGTACGTAAATGAATTCGAAGCAATGGATCGAGCACAGGGGCGAGGACAGAGAGTCTAGATGGGTAGGGTCTGAGACATGCAGGCCGGTGGGAGTTCCGGTGCCAGCCTCAGTCCTATGAGATGCTTAGCGTGCGCCTCGCGGTATTCGTCAGTGGGCCTTCATCAGCGGCCGGGGATGTTAGCCGGACAGGCGCGCGGAGCCGGGCCAAACTTGCCAAGCTGTGACGGTCATGACAAGAGGTTGCAGTCGTTTGAAACGGACGTCGAAGACGCAAGGAACAGGAGAGAGGAACCCGACATGAGGCCGTGGCAGCAGCCCATCAGCGCCAGCCGGCAAGATGCCCGGAGGCTGTTTGCTTTGTTCGGGCAAAAGAAATAGCCCCTTTCAGCCTAGTCGTGCGGCTTCAAGGCGTGATGGATGGGGGGACAGACCACATATATACACCAGAGTTGTGCAATGCTTTAAAGACGCACCTGGAAGAGGCAAGAAATCCTGGCAGACTTCGGGCCGTTTTCGACGTTGGCCGGGCGAGACAATGCAACCTCACCGAGTTGGCGGTCCCGGTCACTGGTCTGGGAGAGAGAAAACGGACACGCAAAGCGGGCTGGTGACCAAAAACGCAATTGCGACAACCGGGAGGAGAGAAAAAGAGAACAATCCTGGAAAAGAAACCAAGTGGAGTCGAGAGACCGGAAAAGCAGCCAGCCAAATGAGAAAAAGAAGAAAGTGGGAGAATTGGCGAGGGTTGGCCAAGAAAAGGGACCGTCCGCACGCCGCCGGAAACAAGCGTGGCTGCAGCTGTCAGCGCACTGATGGCGGTGATGGGACGCTGTGGCGGGTTAGCTTACGCCTGTCAGAGGCATGACAGCGAGCGACCCACGAGCTGGCAAACGGCAAAATGCGGGTCATGGCTTCCCCCTAGGATGGTAAGGGATCCGCAGGGATGCATCAGGGGATGACGCGGGGCAGGTGCATCGCAGGTGGTGCCCCACTCCACCCTCGCCAGAACTATTGGCCCCCGGCGGCCCTCAGAAGAGCTCTAGCCTGAAATTTGCAAATTGGGAACATGGAGGCGACTGGAGTCAACACGACAAAGATGGAGAAGATGGATACAAGATGGATGTGGCTCCCCTGCTTCCCCAGAGCCCCAGACTGCGCAGCTGCTACGATGACACCCTGACCCGACTAGGCCCGCGGTTCTTTGCCTCCCGATATCCTCGTGCTTTTCCTCTCTCTCTGTCCGCATTTCTCGTTCCTTCAGCCCAGCGCCTGGAAATCCTTGATTCTCAATCTCTCGCCACTTCGACAACCAAACATACAGGACAGTGATACAGAGAGCCGTTGAACAAGTCAGTTATCGACACAACGGCCAGCACCAGCGGCATGGACCCCTTCACACGTTCCGCGGCCGAGATGGACGAAATGGCGTAAGACCGTCCCACTCTTCTGAGATTGCCCGGACCCAATTGACGCTGTTATCTCTAGCAACACATTGCGCCGGCTGAACACGGGTGGGTCACATGGCGGACATCTAGATGAAGTATATGGCCAGCGCCCGCAGCGTTCGTCGTCGCCGTGGTATGGCGAGAGCGAAGAGCTCTTCTACGACGGCGACAGCACCACGGCTCTCTGTCGGCCGACCTCCAAGGGCCGAACTCCCAGCATCCAGAAAGACTCGCGGACACCGGAGCGCCGTCCGTCACGGACACCCACACTCGCAAGCGTCTCCGGCTACAGCCTGTACCCTGCCCCGAAGCCTCCGCCCGGAAAAGCCCTGCCGCCCGTGCCTACCATCCCTAAAAACATGCGTCGCCCGTCATCGCGGGCCTCGGCCGAAGTATCGGATGCCGCCTCGTCACGCTACTCGCAGTGCTCCAGGGCCAATTCACACCAGGACAACATGTCCAACAGCACCACGCCCATGTCTCCCAACCTTCCTCTCACCCCAATGTCACTGCCTCCACATTATCCCCCTCCCGCATACCCAGAAGATGGCGATGCGGTCAGCACCATTAACGGCAGCGTCCCCCAGAAGCCCGCCCCGCTAACCTCCCTGTCCACTGCCAAGCCCATCGATCTCGCAGCATGGAAAGTCCTTGTCACCAAGAATGAGAAGGGGATCAAAGACCCGGCCGTCTATTTCTTCGACGTTACCACTGCCGCCACGACCCTTGCAAGCAAGCACGGCAACAACCTGATCAAGGTGTGGAATGTCGGCACCGGGACCGTTGTCAACACCATCAAGATCTCGTGTTACACCACGGCGCAAGCGCGCTCACGTGAATACTTTGTCCGCAGCCATGGCATCCTCTCCGAACAGACGACGCTCGTTGCCATCGCCACCGGCTTTGGAGACTCGCTCGAGATCTGGGATTGGGCGAAAAAGAAGAAGCTCCAGACCATCGACAAGGCAGACCGTTGGGCGTCGGTGCGCTCCAACATCTACGAGTCCGCGTGGCCACCCCTCGTGACCTACCACGGCCACACTGACACCATTGATCTGCACATTCCGACCCAAGACAAGAAGAAGCCCTTCAAGCGCTGCCGAAGTATCGAACTCCGCCGCGCCGGCCTTCCTGTCCTACCAAAATACCCCGAGCTTGCTTTTTCAGCTACCTCTCCCATCCTTGTCACCGCATC